CACTCCTGGTAGCAGCTCTAAATTATCCTATTGAGATACTATCACTTATTAAGCTCTTGTGGTGTTTGCCAGAGAAAAAGAAGGCAGCTGGCCGATGGTCAGATGGAAGTTTGCTTACTTCAGTTCTTGCAGAGATTTCCTTTCTTCTGGATTTTATACACCAGAGTTATTGAGCCCTCCCACCCCCCATCTACTCCCACACACTTTAATGTCACTCTCTCGTATTCCATATAAAGATGAAACAACTCAGAACAGTGAAACTGTTAGCATCAAAGAAACATCTTAAAGGGCTCCAATCCTAAGTGGCTTCAGTCGCATTTTGAGATGAGGCAGCATTGCTCTGTGACCAGTCACACTAAAGCCCTTACTGCCTAGGGCAACCCTTCTTCTTGATCACTGTTTATTAACATTCATTCCCGGTGGGATAACACTAGAAGATTAACATACACACTTCTCCCTAGGCCTACAAAGTACTAAAGGACCTAATTAAAAATTAAACTCAAAACACCAATAAACACATTTAAAAGGGTTTGTTTTTTTGCCTCCTATAGCCTAAAGTGAATGTATTAAATTAAAAGCCAAAAAAGATAACATTGATTGCACACTTTGTGCCAGGCACTGTCTTAAAGAGCTTTAAACCTCACAATAACCTTTTGAGTACTTTTACTACATCCCCTTTAAAGATTAGAAAACTAACTTTTCAGGAGGTTCAGGAACTAGCTCAAGGTCACAGAGTTGCTGAACCAGAAACTTAAATACCGGCAGTTGGATTCTAGGTCCAAGGTCTTTATTTTTAGTCTATAGTATTTCCCAAGATATCCAGATGTTGTTTGTCTGTGAGAATTTAAATATAAATCTACAGCCTCTTTTAATTTGCAAAAAAGAGAAACTCCCATTCAAAGCAGCTTAAGTAAAAGGGGGTCGATTTAATGGCTTCTATCCGTAATTTACAGAACAGGCTAACATCAGGGAGAGATGGATCCAGGGACTTGAACACTGTTGGGATTCTATGTGTTCCTTGCTGAATGTCAGACTCTTTCTTCCAGGCCAGTTTATGGGAGTCCGCATGGTGGGTCACTTGGGGAAGCTCCAGTTTCATACCCTAACATAAGCCGAGAGGAAAATATCCATCCCTCGTGGCTCAGGTAAGAAAAATTCATGTGAAGACTCTGACTTTAGATTATGTATCCACCCCTGAGTTATCCCAGTGGCAAAGGAGATAGTGAACTATGATTTGCCCAGTCTGGGTCACATGCCCACCCTGTGGCCTAGAGCGCTGGGTCTGTGCCAGATGAGGGTAGAAAGGTGCTGGACAGAAAAAATAAATAAAATAGTTGTTAAACTACCCCTTTAGAGTTTACAAAGTGCTCTCATATGACTCATGAAGTTTGAGTCTCACGACTACCTTATGAAGAGGGCAGGTAATGTATTAGTAAGGAAATGCTGGCTACTATTGCATTTACCTGTTTACTGCACACCACTGGATGCTCCAAGGGCATGTGAAGTTCAACTGTCCGGAGCTGAGCTCATCACCTTGCCCCTTCACTGACTCCCACTCCTGATTTCTTCCTCGGTTGGTGGCACCATCCCCACCATTGCTCCCCAAGCTAGTAGCCTGTGCGGTTACCTTCACTCTCCCTTTCCCTCAACCTCACATGCAACGGTTTGTCCATACTGCTAATTTTAGCCTCCTAAACATTTCTGCAATTTACTCTTTTGTCTAAATATCCCATAAACAGCACAAAAACAGGATATTCAAAACTTAACTACGTCCTACCTCAAACCTGCTCTCCTTCCCGTGTTCTAGTAGGATAGTATCACCATCCACTTAGTTGCCAAATATTCCTGATGTTTGGCATCCTGTTTGTCTCGTAAACCCACCCAGTCCTCTCCATTCTCAGCGCCCTCATCTCCTCACTTCCGGCAGCAGTACCCTAATTGGTGCCCCTGCCCTCTGACCCCTTCCGCAGGAGGAAGCCAGCTCAGATCAGGCCAGCGACTTCCTCACCCCCCCCACTCCCCATTTTCTAATCCTTTCATTCCTGGTATGTTTAACTAGACTACAATATCTAGGAAAAGGGCCACAATTCCTATACCCTTGTCTCCCCTGCACGTAGCACACTGCACTTGGCACCCAATAGATGCTCAATAAATACGAAACTGTACTCATCCCCTTTCTGGGTATAGCTTATTTACAGCAGGTAACTCCTTGGCATTTTCTAGGTGTGCTGGACCTCTGGAGGCACGAAGTATCGGGATATGGTTCACTGTTGGACGAGCTGGAGGCCTCTGAAGGAAGCCATCAGAAACCAGCGTCATCGCACCAAACGAATTGTGCAGTCAGTACACAGAAGGACGCAAATCCCGAGGCATCTTCGTGATGGTGATTTAAGGCAGAAGCCGCCCTCAGGACTCCGGAAAAATAGCTTTCCGTTTCTGGACCTCTGTCTCCGGCCCCGCGAAACGAGCTTGCGGAGAGTAAATGAGACTTCAGAGCCGCGGCGACGGAGATGATGGGGCTCTACGCACGAGCTCGCGCGTGGCGCGGCCTTCCCGGCGGCCCCCGGGGGAGGCGGGACCAGGCGGATTCCCGCGGTTTGGCCCCGCCATTGGCGGGCGGTTTGAATGACGGAAATGACGGCGGCTCGGCGACGGCCGCCCCGCAGGCGCACGAACGGCTGTTGGGAAGCGGATCCGCGGCGGCCGCCGGGGCCTTCCCTGGCTGAGCGGCGTTTCCTGGCCCCCGGCTCGGAGTTCTCAGGCGAGTGACGGACGCGCCCGCTTCCCCGCGCCGCCGGGCGTGCACGAGTCCCGGAAGCCTGGACCTGGGAGTGTGTCGGGCAGGGAGGGGACGCGGGGCGGATGCGGCGCCGCGAACGCGGCA